ATAAGCGCAAAGGATGGAGTGACAGTTGACGCACAGGAATTGCTCTTTGAGAGGTAACTTAAGCGAAATGTCATAGAAACAAAGGAGGTGTGAATTCTAGTGTGGTCATCGTTGTGAGCAGGGTTTATGAGGTACGATCTGCACGATGGTGTGCGTATGCCATTCACGTTCATACAGTCGTACAAATGCAATTCTGTACCATTGTACGCAAATCACATCTCACTTTTGTGTAACTATGTTTATTCAGAAGCTCCAAAGTATCAGTACTTTTGGAGATGATGGATGTAAAACTTAGCTTTGGTTTTGACAATCTACATGCTCACAAAAAATGGAGCCTGTTTATGCTAGCAAATTTAAGGTAAAAGCCCCAAGACCAGGGAAAGTTGCTTTGCACCTTGCACAAAGGAAGCTTTGGCTCAAACAGTCCGCATAGACAGCGCAATGGGGTCAGGATTTATGCTCCATCCAGGAGCAGAACTGAAAGTGCTACAAGTATTTTAAAACGCTACTCTCTGGAATTGCAGAATAATTTGTATTCTCCTGATTCTGTAAAGAAAAAGGGCTGTTAGCCTCAATAATGATGGCTTCATTATCTGATATAGTAAAACGTATATTGTTTGTATCATACTTGCTTATCAACTCAATATCTATCCTCCCGGGAGCCTGTGTTTACAGTAGACCTCCAATGTCGTTACTATATAGAGATAAACTAGTCATTTGAGAAGCTCTTGTTCGATATACACGGACTCTAAGAGTCAAAGCTTTTTCTGTGTGAGGGGCGCAGCAAAGCCGTTGTATGTCACCTATACAATAATCATTCCTTTTGACGTAAGATAATCAAGATCTCTATGCATTTATCACTTCAAATTTGAGTGCTGTGGATAAAAAACAAGATCGAACGTTTTGTTGTATTAGACAATGTTGGAATACGAGCATGATTACCATCGCAGCAAGCCGCGAGAACCTATTCCCCGGCTTTCCATTCGCAGAGCCATCTCCAATATTTCAATGGACCACCACCCAGTACTTGCGAGTGCTGTACCTTCGATTTCTCCACCAAAAGTCTGCTTACAATCTTCACCTTGCTCACCTGCATACTCGTAAAAGCTCCACACAAATACATCAAGCCAAAAGTTTTCTTTGTGCGGCTCCACCTTGCGACGTCCACGACGGACCGGTGCTGTGCAGTCTCCATCATGCTCAAGATAAGTCTTTGGATCGAGGCTGCGAAGAACTACCATACATCCATCCTCCCCAAGGTCTACACGCATGGCCAAGATGAATGCTCGAATACGAACGTCTGTGTCCTCGCGCTCCAGAGTATAGTAGTAGACGACTGCGTCTTTATCAAGCCGTTGCACGACATGAAAGTGCACTTTGGCATCTCGGGGACGCATGATTACAATTGGCTCTGGCAACGACAAAATTTCCCAAAGATTCATCGCCATCATGTCCATAGCTCGTCCATGAAATGTTTTTTCTAAGGAAAACATGAGTTTATTCTGGCGTAACATGTGTCGATCTCGCCAACCCAATACACTTGTACCTGTCGAGAAGCACGACTCGTTCGCTCGAAATAATTTGATCTCCAGATACGACTTCCTTGCAATTTCGGCACATTGGTCTTGTGTGAGCGAGTTCACTTTAAGCACAGGATTTTTTCGCTTGTATTCTTGCTCCTCTTTTGCTAAAAGCAGAGCTTTCGTTTGTGCAGCCGCTAGATGAGAAATCTGTCGCTCTATGTTCACATACGTGGCATGCAAACGTCTGAGCTCTTCATTCTCTTTGGCCAAGACGCTCTTCACCCGCGATAGTTGCACATATGCATGATGTGTGGTGTTGCTTAAAATTTGTGCAGTAGTATCAGGCGTTGGTTGTGCGCTTTGCTCATGATGGACAGCCAGAAGTTGCTCATACTTAGCTCCCAAGATGTCAGCATCACGCTGAAGATCTTCTAGCAGATTCTATATAGAAGAAAAGTGAGAAAAGCGAAGACTATCTAGCGTCATTATAGACTGTTCGCACCCGCTTCTTGTAGTACAGTCGCTTCGCACGCAGGCGGCTCTTGGTGCGCTGGTCGGTAGAAGCTAATACATCGTTATGCTCGGTAGTTAAGTCGCTAGTGTGGTCCATCGAATATAAATGACGTGTGCTAACTGAATAGATTTTTTTCTAAATAGATATTGTATTGATTACATTTTTATCGTAATGGCGTAATTCGGATTTTCCTTGTTCATATCAGGATTTTGAACATATACACGCACCCTGAGAACTCGGTTATAAAGTTGAACAAATGCGACCGTCACATTTGTTCGATCGTAGAACCAATTGTGCTCAATATCAAGTATGGCAGCAAGCATCTAAAGATATCATTGTGGAAAATATCAGCACACATGTATTGAGGGACACTAATTGCCAAGCACAGCAGTTGTTGCTCGCCATGTGTACCTGAAATCCACGACACAATCCTGGAAGAGTACATAAATTGTCAGATGTGAAGGTGAGTCTTGAATATGAGATCGTGAGTGCTTTGGATTTTATGTCTGTTTACGTGCGCGCATAGGCTCTTGCTGGTACTTTCTTATGCTAACCATGGATTAGCTGTTAGACGTGATTTGTTTTATATATGCGTGTATAATATGGATCAAAAAGCCTGTACATGATTACACTGTTGTTGGCCTCAGAGGCGCCAATTGTGTACAATGAACAATAGATTTTTTTTATTTGTTTCACACCTTGAGTATTCGCAGCTATTGTCCAAACGGTATGTGGGCACCAAAAAAAATCGTCAAGCATTATGTGTTTTGAAATCCTGTCGTCTACTACATGTACGAATCTATTGTCAGCTGCTCTACCTTGCCAGGACGGTTTTTGTATGCTTATACCCGTCAAAGCCATGATTAAGATTTGGAATGGTCCCGCCTAAAGGGGCCAAAGCTCGATTCTGATCTACTCTGTCGATCAGGCTTGACCAGCAAACAGTGCCTTAAGCAAAGATTTTGAATAGATTACAATCAAACTACTAAACTTCTTGCTGCATTCTTACATATTTTGGTATATGCGGCAGTATCACAATTTGCACCACTCCGACAGCATTTGTTCTGTCGTCACCTCCAGGTGCATCATGGGACAGCATCATCATTCGAGCAAAGCACTAGACGCGCGATGAGATAGAATCGTGCTTGTCGCGTATTCGAGTCAATGAACCTTGTTGTACCACATCTTCCTTCTTTCCCCGATTAGTTCTGCGTCATCGTGTGACATGCGCATATGAAAAAGCACACATGCCAACATGAAAAGCTAACAGACTTTGTGAAATAATACGTTTTATCCACGCTCTACGCTAGGAACTGCGGCAATCTCTGCCAGATAAGAGCATCGAGCATTCAAGTTGAAGACACTTAGCAATATTTGCCCTGACCGACGTCTTGCATTGCACGTCATCCGATTTACAACTTCAATAATTTTACGGTTCTTTGATCATTGTATCGTCACTCACTTTCGCAATTGTCTGGTCTGGGAACATTCTGCGAAATCCACTTTGAGCGTGTCGTGGATTTCGCGAACCGTTGAAACACATTAAGTAGTTACCTTTTGCGTTTCGCATGAAATTTGAGACTTTGATAGGATCAAATGCTAAAAAATCAAAATGACGATCTCTGGGACTCGTTGAAGGAAAAATTTGCCATGGTAGGTGGTGGCGAATATTACGTTTATCACACGACTTTACACTGTTATTTGCACCAGGTTTAAAAAAAGTATCTCAGTGATTGAGTTCTAGGCACATTGTCAGATTTATTGTAACGAATTACGCACCATTATATAGTGTACGTAAGCCTCAAAGTGTTGTCGCTATTGTCCGTCGGACTGAAAATCAAGCTCAGCAGTACCGAATTACCAAAGTAAAGTCTTAGTATGAAGTATCATAACTTAAACTAGTACAAATGAGGCTGATCGCTCCGCGGGACACATGGCTGCTAGCCTCGCGCTAAGCACTTTATAGAGTTATACCAAGCGTTTCTGATAGTATTTTGAGCGAATCTTACTTCTTGATTCACGATTTCGCTTCTGGCTGGAAAGACAGACCTTTCGCTGTGAACTTGTTAACGCTGACCAGGAACACCAACGACAACTCTTTGCGATCGCACGACAAACTGTTATCTGGTGGTAATTTTGCTAGCGATACGACGTTAAAATCGCTACCTCTGCGAGGATGGAACATGATCTGCTTTTTAATTCCTCGGTATGACATGGTAGCATCGTTCTCCTGTTAGTTCCGAGGAAAGTACGCAAATGGCAGTTCAGGGGCCAAAACCGGCTATCGAGCTCCTGGTGGCGTGCACTAGCTATAAACTTGCGCTTGTGAGACATTTTCATAAACGCCAAAACCAGGGGACACAACCAGACCCATATCACCGAGCTTACAGGTCGTTTGTTAAAAAGCCGAGAATAATTTCTATGCTTTTGCATTGTCGACACTCTGCCAGGCACCAATTTAATGATTGAATTGCCGATCTCATTCATACGCTCGCAGACATATCGTTACGTGCTGGGTACCAATCGACCCTCGAGTATGAATATAGCACGCACGGCGAAGATGGAACATCTACGATTTCAACGGAGTCGCTTTACAGCTGAGAGATTTCTCTTTTCAGCAAAGCTAAGGTCTATCGCTTCAGGCGCGATCACTGAGCTCTATCTCCTGTACTTCGATGGATCCTCGAGGCGCGCAGATTAATTGCGACACTCCCCCATATCCTCGTAAGAGGTACAATAAGCATGGCAAGTCTTGCTCTGAACCTCATTAGTTTAGAGGTCCATCATAGAGATGACATCAGGATTGCCTCCGGTAGAGGGTCTGCCGCCATTGTGATGATTTGAGCTCTTATTCCTTGGATAAAGTTTGCTAACTTTATCCCCCTTGACAGATAATTCCTCCGTATGGATCGTGGCCAAGATTATCTTCAGCTTCTATTTCCAAAAAAGGAAATAAAAATTTCTTATCACTGTTCTCAAAGAACTGAACACTCAGCTTGAGCGGTCTCAGTGAGGGATCTAGTTACGCTTACCTCTGCCCGATTGAGGTCTTCCTAAAAGTGACTCTCCAGCGTGATTTCACAGCTGGGGAGCGCTTGAGAGCGCTCTTCAGACGTTTGATTCGAAAATTGTTTAGTGCTTTGCTTTGCAATACAAAGTATGGCGTGGGCGTTTTGGTATACAATCAGAGGCAACTACACCTGGGCAAACTCGCCGAAGTGGGATCATCAAACTCCCAGAGGTTTTGGTATGGGGGTATCTATTCCACTTCACCACATAAAAACAACCTTGATAAATGCATTGGTCCACTAACCGTTCCAGGTGCCATGGAAGGGCGACCCTCTTGCGGCTAGCTCTCGTGAAGTTTCTCGATCGTGGCGGCCCGTCGACCAGTACCGAGAGTCTCGGCGTGTGGTCCATACTGAACTCATTTAATTTTCGCATTAGCTCTATGAGCTACGCCATTTTTATGGGTGGTCTTAAGCTTCCTCATCAATATAGCATGTTGTCGCTATTCAAAAGCAGAGGGAAGCTCAGCTTCACGATATGGTGCAGACTTCACTTTGTCTTCAACGAAGCGCATTTCATCCTACTGGTTGTCAGAGATAGATCAAGTCATGACTTGGCAGACCTTATGTGGAACCCAGGTATTTGCATTCTCTGTGGGATGTAAAGAGTACTTCTTTGTTACGAGTGTGGACGGTACGTGGTCACGTAATCGCAACTCAGTCTTATAGACCGCAAGTGTAGATACGTCGACAGCGTTTAGGAAAATCTTTTTCCCGCAACATTTATGTGAATTTGCCAGCCTCTGGCATCAACGTGTTGCCTTAAGCATTATGTCCCTCAGCCATAGCCCCGATCACTCGGCGCATGTTGCTCAATATAATTGAAAACTGAGATGAAATCCACAGAACCGCTACGGATCGTGGCGTTAAAGATGACCATCTATCGGGTGGTCAGCGGTGAACATGCCTATCTTCCTGAACGAATTCGGTCACTGCTTTTCTGTAATCCGTGGACCTCTTTTAATCCGACTTAATGATCGCCGACAAGCCGTGCTGGTGTAACATTTAGTTAAAGATCTGCTCGATTGTGTCCTCACCTGTGACGCTGTCGCTGACAGCAGCGAGATGATCTGTTTTGTTCAGACGGCCCACATAGACCACAATACCGATAGTTTCAGTTACTTCGTTGAAAAGCCAAGAGTAACGTCCATATTTCTGTCAATACTTCGCTGAAATCGGCAAGCGTGCTAAAGACGTCAATATAGGTAGCGATGATCGAGTCGATGGCCATTGTTCACTTCCTAATCGATTATACGTGCTGGTTGACCCTTCTAGCGTCATTATATTTATTATTATCCGATGTGGCCATACAAGAACCGTGTCGACCACAAGTTTCGTGTCAAGTGGGTCAGTGATGTAATGTAGCAAGCCTAGAGATAAGAAATTAGTGGTGCGGACATGCAGCCAAATGTTTCGATGCGGATGCATTTGAGCTCAAAACATCTGTTACAAAGATAGTACATGTTGTGTTTGTGTCGTATATCGTACGTATTGCTTCACCAATCGACGACGTCGTCATTGTGATATGCGATAGCTTGAGTCGAGGCGACGAGATATTGCATCCATTACCATATCGATGAGACCAAGCTTTAAGCTTTCCCCGAAGGGAACCTTGACAAAGAAGGCTAAACATCTTACCATTCTCTGCAAGAACTGGGATATCTTTATATTACTATTGGTTCAAAGCCAGCATGTGTATACTACAGTTGTTACAAGCACATAATACAGCAAATAGCTCCTTGTCATGAATTAATAACTCGTCTCAGATGCTCCGAGCTGGCGAGACTCATACCCGATCACACGTTGCCATCCACTTGGAGTGAAACACAGCCCACAGCAAATGCTAAATTATCACAGACGGCATGATATGGCCGATCCGTATCCATAAGATCCAGAAGCGAGGTACGCATTAAGCTTCTTTTGACAGCCTTTATGTCCGCCTTCTTGCCGCGATCCTAAACATTGAGAGCTCGCACAATGTCGGCATAAATTGCATTACTTGTGCAAATAGCTCCTTAGACCATCACCATTTGTCAAGTACCATCGAAAGACAGAAGCACTGGGTTGTCAAATGTTTAGGGATATTGCGAGTAGGCGATGCACCTAATCGGACATTCAAATACGTTATTTTGTCGGTAGCAGGGTCGCACTTGCCTGAATAGGCGAACAGCCAGATTAAGCGTATACATTTTAGCACAGCCCGCAAGTGCTTAATGTGGATTTTTGCAGCAGGGCTGCCGTAGCTTTTTGCTTACAAGAAGTTAAGCTAAGGTCACCGACCTTAGGTTCTTTATAATCATCAGTACGTGTAGGTAGCGGATTGTGATCCGCTACACTCGTACTAATAACATTTACCTAGGTCAATGAATTTTTCTGATTAAAATTGAAACTGTATTCAGTTGCTTTAGGTGCAGCAGAGCCGCCAATATCTAAAACCTAGCCTTTTTTATTGATATAGTAATACCTATTGAAAAACCTAATCAATATGCATTTCTACTAGCAATCCTGCCACATAGTGGCTTCTTGTAACGGTGAAGTCACACCACTGTGTGATTACACTAACTTGTGTAACCCACATCTATGCACGGTCACACCATCATGTGCAACATGCCCATTTCATACAAGGGTACGTGTAAACCCGTCACACTCTCCCACACTAAAATTATATATATCCACAATTCACAGTTAACGTCGCCTCATATGAGGCTCGTATGTCTAAGACACCTTTATGTTCTTTGAAACAACTTGAAAATTCTTCGCTCTATGAGCCTTGTACCCATGACACGCAAAACACCCAGCCTAGCTGGTTCCGAGGGTGTCCGCAGACAAAGCCCTTCTTCTTCTTCTTCTGCAGAGGGTGCATCTCCGGTCACTATGCCCGCGGCTTCACGGGAAACACATTTTAAGCCCTCGGCACCCAGGCGCAACACACCGCGCCCGCCCCAGGCGACAAGTTTCATCATCGAGAAGTTGGAGGAAGTCGACTACGAGTCGAATACTCCTTTCAAGACGAGGTGGAGGAGGTGCGCCAACGGCGCGACGTAAGCCCAGCTCGACCTTGCGGACACCGTGTCCGATCCTCAACCTCTCGGCTTCCGAGGGGAAGTGGTAGTATTATTGATCGACTCCACAAGGCTCAGGGTCGGCAATTGCAGGCTGCTTACAGGGTGGCTCTCAATCGCTTTTATTCACGTTCGGTCTTAGACCCCTGTGTGTATTTGCGGCTTCCACTCGGCGGATCCCGCTACTGAAAAGAGAGACGATATCACTCGATCGTTGGGCGTGTATATAGTTGGTCCTCCAGCCACTACACAAGCTGATCATGATCAGCGAAAAGCTCTCCGAGATCGCTTTTTGGTACCCCAAGAGATCCCATTGGATAGTACCGCGCTCGACTTCGAGATCAGAAAGGAGGCGCTTCTATACTCTAATGCGGACTATTCTCGTGGTGCTCACCCCTGGCGAAACCACTGCAGATGATGATAAGCCGTTTGGGCGATAGGAGCAGCGGCACCGAAAACTTTCCTCACTGTCTACCATGCAGCGAAGCCACAAGGAAGTGGACATGCACGCAGAGCGCCATCTTAGACTTGAGTTTGCCAAACTCAAGGCTAATCGACGATTCCTGCGTATTGTCGTCCTGTGACATGTGGAACAATCCTTCACGCTCCCGCGAGCTCTGTAATTTCTCGCACAGGTGAGTCTACGACCACAGCAACAAAAAGCGCGGGGTGCGCGACGAAGCGAAGCGTCATGATCATTCTGAAAATAAGTGTCCACGACGTCTGGGCAGTCTTGCCGAAGTGGCACCTCAAATTTTCACCAGTTCTCGGAGTTTGGGTAGATTTGCCGCTAAACAAGATATTAGGTTAGCCCCTGTCGACCCACAAGGCGTTCCACGTGGTTGTGGACACCACCAATCTCATCAAGGAAAGTCAGCGGCGGGCGATGACGACGTGGTCGATCACCGTCTGGTGACTCGCGATGCTCTTCGAGCGTTGGAGGACAAAGTCCGTCGTCATTTGCACTCTGCTGAGCATCTTGCCAAGGTCGCCTACCGCCGTGCGGAAGAGCTCAAGAGCCTGAACACCTTGTGCACCGACTGCCTCACGTGGAGGACAATCGTGCTCTGTCGGAGTGGCTCCTA